TTTGTCCAAAATTCGGCTCTCCCCGGTGGGGAAAATTGTGTGCGTTGCCATGCTCCTGACAAATTGCCATTGCTGCTACTACGGTGGAAACCAAATCAGCGACTACTTTGGACTGGAACCGCCATCTCTTGAGGAGTACCTCGACACTTTCGAAGTTGTAGTTGTTTGAGTTAACCCCAACACAGTTACATTTTCTACAACAAGTTCTATTTCAACAATGCAATTTAAGATAATGCATGCCAAGTAATATTACTCTCGGTTAGTGAGGACAGAAAATTCAATCCAACGACGGTATATTTACTGTCGCTTAGTGAGAGCACCTAGCATCGCAAGAATAGTTTCGTGGTGCAGACGCGCTTGTTCCGCCACCAGTTCGCGGTCTTTTCGACGCTCAACCTCCAGCTGAAACTTGCGGAACTCCAATTCAGACTGACGCAGACCACGTTCCGCCTTGCTTTCCTCTTGCATGGCAGTAGTGATCTTCGTAAACCGGCTGCCGCTGCTGGACGCTTTTTCGCCGTCATCATCGCTCAAACCATGTAACACACACCATACAACCAACCAATCAAAACCAAGAACTTGGTGCTTGCGCTTGCCAAGCGAGTTTATCGCTTCGTTGCGAATGTACTCACCTTCTCGCTCACTCTGATCCACTTTTGTCGCGTCGTTGACGAGGCGTTTGTTCCTTGGCATCGACAAAGGCGGCCAAAAGCTCATCCAGCAGCGCAATACGTTCGTCGTACGTTTCCGCAACCCCAGAAGCCATAGCCGATTCTCTGTTATAATGGACATGGTTGTCCATTACAGCAGAGAATCGGTTTTGGGCCTTCTTGGCGTCGAATTGGGGCCTTGCGAAGCCCTCATGGTCCGCCAACGCTTTGGCAACAAGTCCCCAAACCTTCATGAATTCGCCCTTCTTTGCTTCGAACGGTCTCTCCGCGTTCACCTGCCGAAGCAGCATGATGTCTTCTTGTTCCGTGTACAGGCGGCGCTTGTTGGGTGTTTGCATGACGGGTCCAATCGGATTTTGCTGCTGCCACTACTCAAACCCGCCTTGCAGGTTTGCTTGCAGGGTGCAATAAGATCCGATTGGACGCGACTTGGAAACACAGGCCCAATGAAAGTCCACCAAGTTCGTAGTGGACGGGAACAGCAGTCCATGAGATTGCCACATCTCAGGGATTTACGATTTGATCTGGCAGGTTCCATTGCGAGTCCACAACAAATTTCTCAGGTAAACTTCCGGTTTTGTCACCATCTGACTTTCGGAATGGGAGTGGACGGTTGCAAAATTGCAAAACCTCTCTATTGTCTTTGCTAGTTGGCTGTACAAGACTTGACCAAGAATCAAGGCAATATCTTGTGTGAGTGGAAGTTCGCGGTGCAGGAGCTCCAAAACGTCTATAACTGCACAATTGGCACTGGTTTGGTACGTCCCTACACCTCGGCCATGGCTATGCTGCATTTGACACTATAATGGTCAACTTGCCATCATTTAGGGGTTTCACTGAACTGGGACGTCAGCTTCGTATGTCCTGAATGAAGATGGTCACATTTGCGCGCTTGGCGACAACGTAGACGGGAGACATACATATACATGTGTAAGTTGCTGTAATCCGGGTTTTCATGGCATTCCTGCAGATACACCCTACTTAATGGATTGCACGGCGCCCGTATATATTGGGCGCTCCCTTAACAGTATTTCTCAAAATTGTGGATGTAACGTTAGGAGCACAATGAAGTCGGAATTGACAGACTTTTGAGTCCAAATGAGGCAGCAAAAAGTAAAGGCAAGTTAATTAGGTCAAATTTAAGCCAATCAGAATTGATTCCGATGAGACGTCCGACTTTATTCGATCACAACACAAATAACCAACGAGATTATTCCACATTGTAGGTAGAACCGGCTCGATTGTGCGTCTTTGTAGGCAAGTTTCAGTGCTACCATGTACTTCGAAGTAGTATCATATTTATCAGATGTCCATTGATTGCTAAGTACTGTAGTACTACTCGAGTACAGGAGTACACGTATACAGCTTAACGTTGGTTAACGTTATATTTGGAACTCGCTCACCCCCCACTCGTCATTTGACACCTCCATAGATTTATTGAGAGGTGGTGTTAGTGTGTTGGGGGGATTGAGTTGGCCCACCCACTGTTCTACTTGCAAAACATCCAATGGTTGTTAACTTGCAAAACATCTAATTATTGGTAAAAAATGTTGGTCGCTCCACGCTGTGAAAGTATATCATGGACGACGTGGTGGAGTTTGCATGAGTATATTGCACCTTTCTTGCTTTCCACGAAACCCTTCCCATATAACTACTTGGAGTTTACGAAAGTATTGTCCGTGCCCCTTGGGGTATACGTATACTTTGCCAGGCACCCTCAAACTTGGTCATCGCCTATCAGATCGCATACGTATAAACTAGCACAAGCTGTGCTGGCCACGAATCAGATACCGTTAACACAAGCTGTGCGACGAACTGGCTCTATTTGCCTACATAGGCGCACTATAGAGCCGGTTCTGCCTACAAAGTAGAATTATCTCGCAGTCGACAAACAAAACTGGAAAACAGAGGAAAATTGTTGATTAGATTATACAACCTGTCGCAAATTGCTGAGACGGTTTCACCTTGTCGCCGCAATTTTCTACCCAATTTATCAATCGAGAAATGTCTTACTTCGAAGTAGTTTCAAGCGGAAGCAAAATACGTCGAAGTATGTATTTACTTCCAAGTTTCCGAAGGAGATTTTGGCAGTCCCCCATTATCAGGTTTTGACTTTACGTTCATCAGGTTCCAGTAGCAGCATGTCAATTCCCACCGATCCGTGTATTTTGATTACCTGATAATTACACAAAATATGCCGACTGCGTTCCACCACATAATTCAATTTGCCATGAAGCACACTTTTGAGGTCGCTACGTTCTTCACGCTCGTGTCGTCCTTCGTCGCTGGTCAATCTTTGCACAGCAGTGACGGCCGTGCACGAACCTTTGAAGAAGAAACTCTCATCCGGAACGATGCCGACACCAACCGCGCTTGCCACAAGCAAAACGACAACTATATCCCGTCCCTCAAGGCCGGCCAGTACTCGACCAGTGCGTTCCACAACTGCTACCGCACCATCGATCAAATCTACGAGTTCACCGATGCGTTGGTCAAACAAAACCCGACGTTGCTGAGCAAGTTTGCCATCTCCAAGACGTACAAGGGGGCCACGATTTACGGGTTCAAGTTGACCAAGGGACACTCGCAGTCGCTGTACTTTCAAGCCCAGCTACACGCCCGCGAATGGGTCGCGGGGTCGTCGATTCTGTTCTCGTTCGCGTCGATTATCGATGACATTACCAATAACAAACCCACCGCTGCCGACGAGTACGACTTGTACTTTGTGCCAATCGTCAACATTGACGGCCTCGAGATCTCGTGGTCGAGAAACCGGTACCAGCGGAAAAGTGCCAACGAAGTTGACTTGAACCGCAACTGGCCCACGCCCATCAAGAACCCCAACCCCCCGTCCAAGAACAGCGAAATGTACCCTGGCACGAAGCGTTTAGCGAGCCCGAAACCGAGGGTATCAATGCCTGGATGGAAACCAAACGCGACGAAATCCAGGGGTATTTGGACATTCACACGTACGGAGGGCTCATCTTGTATGCGTACGGGGACACTAAGCAACCCATCGGCGACGGGTTTGACGAAAAGTACAAAGTGCTCTGCCGTGGATTGCAAAGCGTGATGGGGGCGTACAAGCCAGAACCGGCGTACGAGTTGTACTTGGCATATGGCACGTTTCCAGATTATGCATTCCGCGAGTTCAAGAAACCCGCTCTGACGATTGAAATTGTCGGCAATGATTTCGCCGCGCCCGCGTCGACCATCAAGACGCGAGGCCTCGAAGTGTACAAAGGCATCAACCAGTTTGCCAAGGAAGTCACTGTATTCAACGGGGGAGCGATCACGAAACCCCCGAGAAACACGACCAAAGCGCCCAGGACAACGAGTGCCTCTCCCGACGGCTGCAAGAAATGCCAAATGTGTTACTACCACAAGTGGGACTCGTGCTTTACTGACTTTACCAAGGATGACTGTGACTACTACAACGCCGAATACGGGACTGTATGGTGTGGAGGTGCATAAGACAGAAGTATTGTTACTGTAGTAGCATCCATGTGAAGGATAACGTTATGAAGTGAATACAATCAGTGGATTCAGATTTACCTGACTCACGCACGCACAAATCACGGTATGGTCAGTCACGTCCCATCCCACGTCGGTTTCGAGTCCTTCTTGATGCCGTTGGTCGTGACCTTGAAGAACGAATCTGTTTTGTCTCCCACTTCTTCTTGGCTTTCGTCCACGGGCTTTACAGTTAGTCAAGGTAGCAAATATAACACTGACATTAGTGAGGTTAACAGTAAACACGCCACGAGGCTACTACTGTACTGACTACCATTCACTAAAGTACTCAGTAACGTTACCTCCACTGAAGGTAACGGAACTACAGTACGTGGCCACGATTGACTATTATTCTCGGTATCCAGACATTCCGCACCAAGACAATACGAACTTCAATATCCGTAAATGCACGGATAGTACTACGTAGTATTCATTGACGAAGAAGCATACCGAATATCCTCTTTGTCGTTGAAGACGCGGTGGCGCTGAGGTGTGTCCATGCCAATCAAGAACTGCACCACCCGCCAATTCAATCACATGTCAAGTTTGGTTGGAGGGTCATGCAGTTCTTGATTGGTCAAAAACCGGCCAATCATAAGCAGTTATCACGGAGCAGGCTGGACTGCCAGTCCGTGAGAGCTGCGCTTTTAGCGGATTGGCAATCAGATTTAAGAGGACGCGTTCGCGTTCAATATGAGGTTTGACAGGTCGACTTCTGGTTATGGCAGATACGTGGAACGCGACCCTGCGAATGGACACTTGCAAAACCTCTCTAGTGAACACAAAAAGCGTTCGCGATATTGATGGTTTACCTTACATTTTAATTAAAGTCCTATATTCTTCAAGTCGGTTAGAGCCTGTTCCGAGTAAAATCTCAGACGGGGTACAAATGGGGTGGCGATGTTTTTTCATCTCGTTCGAGGTTGCGACACAACCATAGCTAGTGATCTAATTGGCTAATAATATAAGCCAACCATACCACACCAAATCACGTCCAGTAACACCACCAATGACTGTGAATCCACATTCAGTGGTGGCAACAAAAGTCAACCAAATGACCAAGAAGAACTCGACCAAGGCCGAGCTTCTTGCACACATCCAAGCACTCGAGCATCGTGTGGCCGGATCATCTTCGGGGATGGGCAATGCAGTAGACAACCTCGCTCATAGGAAGCGCACCCCTGTCGAATACACGGACTCTATAGTGGTCGCGTTGCTAGAGCTTGGCTTCAATGCTTACCGCAACGCGTTTAACGGCAGCAGATCGGCAAAGCAACTCAACTTGCTCTGGGAAAGATTGACCGTGCAGTTCAACATCGCGACGAACCAAATATTCAATGTAAACTACTATTATTCACGAATGTTGCATTAATATCGATGTACAGGTTGACGCCGACTCGATTAAGAACAAGCTGCGAAAGCTTCGTGCAGAGTTTATGGTTATCCAACGCGCCTTGGTCCAGACCGGCAACGTCACACCAGTGCCCAAGCCTTCGTATTACGCAGAGATGCTAACGGCGTATGCAAGCTTGCAAGGACTTGGCGACATTGAGTTCGGGATGGAGTGTGTACCCTTGGTTGATGATGGGGACGGTGCAGCTTGCGATGCTGACTCTCAGTCCAACAATGATGAGTATACTGTACCAGCAGCCAAAAAACGGAAGGCAGAAGTCGACATGGAGATGAAGCGGCAACGCCAAGGCCGCAAGCACGCTCAAACTGACATCAGCCAGGGTCTGGAGAAGTTTGGCAACACCCTCGGTGCCGCAATTGTTCAGGCAGCCAATGTCAAGAATGCTCCCGTTGGAGGACCCGACATGGCAGCGCAAATGGCTAAACTTTTGGAAGTTGCTGAAAGCACGAAGGCCAGCATCGATAGTTCCAACCAAGTTCAAATGAAACTTCTAGCTTTTCTGGAAACTAAGTTCTAATGCATGCGTAATTCCTCGCATATGTGGTTTGAATTAGTGATATGATATATTTGATATTGATATATACGTATACGGTTTTTAGGGTACCAGTGCAGATGAAAAAAATGTTTTACTAATATCACTACAATAAATTATAGAGATGGTTTTTAATTGTGTCACGAGCGCGCTCCGCTGCAGCACCATCTACTTGGAATAACTCGTCATCATCTACAATGTCACTGCCGATATGCATCCACTCAGGCTGTGTTGTAACCACAGCCTCGTTGTCGTAGTCAATGTACCAATTATGCAAGACCAACGTAACTTCAATCAATCTTGCCATGTCGCGGGGGCAGTGGTGCAACAATTCGTGCTTGAACATGCGAAATTTGTTTTTCCACCGGCCAAAGGCGCGCTCAACAACCATGCGGCTACGACTGTGGATCCAGTTATAGTTGGCTTCATCTGGAGCCATACTCGAGACGATCGAATACGGGGTCATTACGTGCGTGAAAAGCTTGTAGCCAGCGTCACCAACAAAACAGCCTCCGGGGGGAACTCTTGTGTGACACGTTTGCCCAAATAACGATTCGTTGAACATGGCTTTGTCATTCTGGCTTCCCGAACGCAGCGAGTACGACATAAATCGCATGCGGTGGTCGACAACGGCTTGCATATTAAAAGCCGGAAAACCCTTGCGGCAATACCAGCCATAAAAGTCCTCAAATCGCTTGACTTGAATGAGGCTCCCATCAATAGCACCATATGCATTTGGGAAGCCGTGTTCTTCGAATCCCACGCGAACAACCTCCCACTCATCGCGCGACGACGGCAACACGATGGTTTCCAACACGTAGCAAAGTTGAATAACCAAAGTAACTTGGTTGCAGTACTCATACGCTCGCGTCTTGGAAATACCGAAAAGTGCGGCCGTTGACTCATATCCGTCTGAGTGAGCGAGATAGTGGAGTGTGCAGGCAACGCCGTCGTTAACGCTCATCGTATTGTGGTGGTGAAGAGGAGGGTGCACGCGCTGCCATGCAACTTCGACATTTTGGCAGATGCGCTGGTACGTGCCTCGCGTGCACCGCAGGTGTCGTATGAACCATGCGTCGTGGATGGGGCTGTTCTGCACGATGGTCCCCGTGTTACTCGGGATGACGAAGTGGTTGGTGATGGGGGCGCGGAAACTACGAGCGTCCATTGTCGAGAATACTGCATCAAACGCAACTGCAACAGCGACACACACTGCTATAGCGTCGTCCATGTGAATATATCGGAAGTCAGGTTGCCCAATCACTGATTGGTCATACTATGCTTTTGTTTAGACCAATCAAACAAATATCTACCTCATTATCTTGCGAATGACCTCCTGGAGGTCATTCGGAAAAACAAGTCTGCGAATGGGGTGGACTGAAAAATTCAAGGTTTTGATTGGCTTAACCTCGTCTGAGATTTTACTCGGAACAGGCTCTTACTACGTAGTACTAGTACATATTTGCATCGATGCACATGCATATCATCAACAGTACTTAAGGTAATGCATCAATTATTGGCACTGTTTTTGGCCAAGTTGTGGCCATAACTTCAAATCCCTGCAGCTCGAGAACGAGAACGATTATTTTAATGTTGATAGTACCACAAGAGAATATAAAATGCCACCATTTTTTTGACGTAGTATCATTGATCATGATTGGACTACATTTCAGATTTGTATCGAAATTAAATGTTTTGAGCGTTGTGGTCTCGACTTTTGAGGTGAATCAATTCATTACACTCCTTAAAAACCTTAATGTTTGTATTTGATTAAATTAATATGCAAAATAATTTGATCAAAAATATAATTGCATGCATTTTGCAATGCGTAAAAAAATTTTACATGAATTTAATTAGTCAGGGTAAAAAAATGCAGTCACATATTAACTCACTGATGTACTGTATAGATCACAACAGTAGCGGCATAGTGGAGGCCATCCACTCGTTGCGACGAGCAATACGCTGCTGCTTCTTTGTCTATGGCAGCGATGGCTCTAAAGTGAGCACTTCCATGTATCACGTAGCTATGCACAACTGCCGTGACGCATTCGTAGGCATGTATGGCGGTACAGCGTCAAGTGTTTCTAGTTGACATTCTATTTAAATCTTTGTATTTTTTTGTTTGAGATTGAAAAAAACTGACTAGACTTCAGCATTGAGACGTGTAATAAAATATAGAGACGAATATTATCATATCCAGTCATACAAGGCCAACACGAAATATCGAGATGCTATTGGCTAAAAGTCAGATAGTCTCATAATTTGGTGCCGTGTCAACAATTGATGCATTAGAGCATCTCCACCGTACACGGAATTTGACCCTGAAACTGAATATTACTCAGTGTTGATGATATTTTGACCCTGAATTTCCTTACCCCCACCCCAACACTGAGTTCGACACTGAAACTGAGTTTCAGAACCCCGGGCCCTGAGTCTTGACCATTCCACACGGAGTTTTCACTAAAAACTCCGACACGAGGTTTTGCGCCGAACTAATCTAATAACAAGAAATTTGTATGGTATACAAACTAGTTTACCCGAAATACTTTTCGATTGCTGGACGACGATGTCGTTATCGATGAACGCAATGGAGACCGAGTTACTTTCCAAGACATGCGTAGCAGTGTCTGAGGATCGAATCAAGGGTAGTAACTCTCAGACGATAGCCCTTGTAATGCGCTTCATTGATTCGATGGCTGTCGATTCACCAAGGCGACGATGGTGAATCGAGTAAGCGCAGACGCCATAGGCCAGCATACGTATCGACGCAGTGCACTCCTGTAATGGCGACATACCTATATTATCTTTTAAGCTCGTTGGTTTCCCTTTTTCTCCAAAGTAGTCGTCGACAATCTGTTGGTGCCCACCAGCCCGGTTCCGATCCAAGTTTGGCTGGCGACCGCGACAAGACCCGCTCCATGATCGTGAGTGCTCAACTGCGGCTTGGCGGACGGCTTCTTGGGCTGCCGTACTTATGATGATGTCGATTTCCTCGTCGGACGAATGCATCAGTTGATTCCACGACTGCATGAGTCGGCTACAGTATTCCAGCGCATTGGGTGGACTTCGAAATGACCATGCATATCTTATCTATTTATACTGTATTAATTTTCGCAGAATTGCGGTTAAAAGGTCAGTGTCACGATGCGAACGAATATCCTTCACACTCAAATTTATTGAATTCAGTGCAGAATATGACACTGAAAAGAAAAGGACTCAGATCCAGGGTCAAAATCCGTGTTCCGGTGGAGATGCTCTTACCTTAGTATAAAATGCTCCGGAACGTGATGAATTGTGCATCGGCTACAGCGAAGTTGGTGCCACGGGCATTTGAAGTGAGAATTTTCACTTAAAGCATTTGAGCTTAAAGTAATGTAGCGTCCGATTTATACTCGTTCGTGTATCTATCTTCATGCCACTGGTATCGCTTGGGATGTGTTTCCTTGCAGTGCTCCCTGAGTCCAAAGTGCTGTGGCACCACAATAGAGAGGTTTTACAACTCATCCGTACATTACCCATCCTCACAAAATCGGCATTTGTCGTTTTGAGGGTAATGACAATGATGAAGTATTATTGTGTTTTGCAATTTATCCCCCCATCCTTATCCCCACAACAGCATCCGGATAATACGGTTAGTCAGACATGTACAATTTGCAGATGCCCACAGGGTACACGAATGGCCACGGGGTTGGCGTGGCTGTCGTGTGACGTCGCATGCAGGATGCACATACAGCGCGCTTGACCTCGATCTTATCGGCATCGCTGTGTCGTTCATTGCCCCAATGAACGCAAACCGGATGTCGTTGTTCAAGAAGGACCCGAGTCGACCGACGGCGCGATGAGGATGCCCATAGACCACACGCGACTATTGCGGTCGGTCGTAAGGGCAGCAACGCATTCGTTGCCTTTCCCTTCCATAGTGTAACGTTAACATCTACAGTACATAATAATTTCAAGGTCGTCAGTGGTTTCGGCGATTTGGAGATCCAGCAATCTCTCACCAAATGTGGAGGACCTTATGCTTCCAAATGGCTGCGTGGTCATCTGGATGTCATTTGACGAGATCACGTCCATTGATGTGTTAACATCAGTGGTAACGTTATGGCAACGTAGACCTTGGAATTCGCACGCAGGAACGTACTGGTAACTTTGCACTGTTAGTTCTCCACATCTGCAAAAGTAGATGCATGGAAGACTGTAGCTAAACCACAATCACTACGCAACTTAACGCTAACGTTAGTTCTGTGCTTCCATACTCTAGTTTGTGAACACTGGTCAAACGATCAATGCCACACTCGCGGGTTCGAATCCCGTTTTTCGCTTTTGGGCACACACCAACAAACTTCCTCCTGCTCTACTGTGGAAATAGGAGCTCCTGATTGGCTGGGTCGAATGTGATGATAACGCCAAATCCACGCATCGAGGCATGGACGAGGACATGGACGACGCTTGGGTGATCCTAAGCACGAGTAACGGACCATATGAAACACCGGGATGAAACACCGGGGCCAAAACCGCACGTTAAACAAGACCATAATGAACACCCAACAAACTTATTGACATTACTCCAGTATGTTGCTCCACCAGGTACAGCTAAGGATCGTACGTGCGATGGCAGTCCGGATCGCAATAGGTACAGCAATGCGCACTAATGTATTACTTAAACAATATATTGTAATTTATTTAGTTCAATTATTTATTGTTCCACTTCGCAGATTGCAATTATTAATTGATTTTCAGGATGATATTGCCGAAAATTGATTATATTGTACTGTACAAATATATCACCACAGGTATTGCCAATATATTGTACAATAATCAAAGGTTGCATTGGCTGTGAGGTTAGTGTAGCAGCTCCCAGCGACGAGAATGCACTTGCACAACGAGCACAAATAAGTGCTACGCCCTCCCTTGACTGGAGATTTGGACATGTTTGCATGAACACCGTTGGAGGGTTGCTCAGGGCTCTCACAGTTACACAGTAA